GCTGATGGTATGTTGAGTTGAATGAGATAAAACATTTGACTTCATCGCTTATGTAAAAAAACTTGATACGTTTACAAAAACGACTTATGCGCATTGCACTCGGTGTGATTTGGAGTGCCACTGTGAAGTATAATTGGTGCAGCACTTGTCAAGCAGTTTTAGAGTTAATGCGTGCCACGTACTTGGAAGAACTGCCAATACTTGCATATATTTCGCGCATACTTACCAGGTTACCTGCCAAATACTGAATGAAGTACTCATCTAGTACTTATACTTGTTAACTTACTTGCTAAGTACCTCTCTTACTTGCAGAAAACTGCAGGTACTCTGGACATTACTTATCCAAGTATTTTTCTAGGTACTTGTTCTCAAGTACATTGACTGGGGCTTTAACCAACATTCTTATGAAATCTTGTCAGATTTCACATGCTCATGTAAGGTCTTGTGGCATCTTGTAATATGAATTACAAGATCATATTTCAGGATTCCTCACCCTGAAAAGCTACATATTTCTTATATGTCAACTTAAAGCTTATTTTAATCGGACCTCAATGGCATAGCCTTTTTAAAAGTAGAAACTCTTTTCAAAAGATAGGATTTTGAAAAGGTCCGTGGAAAATCCGTTCAGTGTTTCAAAATTTGCATTACCAAGGAAAAAAATTCAGATATCCCAAAAATTCCAGTTTTCAGACGACACTGAACACTATTTATCTATCTGAAAAACCAAATACATTGCTATTTAAAACTTCGAACGGATTTTCCACAGACCATTTCAGAATAATACCTTCTAAAAAGAGCCTTTACTTTCTTTATCACAAAACACTATGCCATTCAGATCCATTTAAAATAAGCTTTAATTTGATATATAACAACTAATTGTACTTCTGGTGGTTTAGGTTGTAGCCAGTGGAAAACACTATTCTAATATTCTACTATTCTGCTATTCTCCTATTCTGCTATTCTCCTATTCTGCTATTCTCCTATTCTGCTATTCTACTATTCTACTATTCTGCTATTCTATTCTAGTCTTTTACTATTCTAATTATTTCTATCCAACAACTTAATTCATAATACAATGAAGCAATGCAAATTATGCATTACTAATATGCCTTAAAATGTTCTTCTATTCTACTTTGTATCCTACAATTCTAACTGCCAAACTGAATACTAAAACAAGTGAAAATTTCTATCTAACGGAAATTCGCCCAGCTCTGTTAAATTTCGCTTCTTCATCAAGGATCTTCACGATCAACTTACATTACATTCAAAGTCGAATCGTAGAGAATCAACACTAACGGTTTATCGTGGACAGGGTATGATAACTGAAGAGTTTGAGAAGTTGAAACAAGGTGGGTTTGTATCGATGAATAGTTTCTTACTGACAAGTGCAAATAGAGCTATTGCCGTTCAGTTTGCTCAACAATCGATGAATCGTGCTGGTGTCATATCGGTTTTGTTCGAAATGGATATTCAGGTTGAAAAATGTATTAGACCATTCTCAAACATTGAAAAATTAAGTGCCGTGAAAACAGAAAATAAGATCCTTTTCTCGATGGGTACCGTATTTCGAATCGAATCAGTGAAAAAGCAAGATTTCACAAACATTTGGAATGTCAAACTTGCCCTGACTGGTGAAGCAGATGAAGAGTTGAAGACGCTGACTAAGCAGATAAGGCAAGAAATTGAGAGCGAAAGCAAGTTAAACAGTTTAGGTCTGCTACCCAACAGATGGATAAATATGTCGAAGCAGAGCAATACTATCTGGTGTTGATGAATAAGACTTCTCTAGAAGATCCCAACATCCCAACAATTCACAATAATCTTGGGCGCATTTACAATGCCATGGGTGACTATACAAAGGCGTTGACTTATTATGAAAAGACACTGGAATTTCAGTTAAAAACACTGGACTCAAACCATCCATCTGTGACTACGACGTACAATAATATTGGAGCGGTTTACAATGCGATGGGTGATTCTTCAAAGGCTTTGACTTATTTTGAAAAGACACTGGAAGTTGATGTGAAAACTCTGGGCCCGAATCACCCATCTGTAGCTACGACATACAAGAATATTGGAGCAGTTTACAATGCCATGGGTGACTATTCAGAAGCTTTGACTTATTTTGAAAAGACACTGGAAGTTGATTTGAAAGCCCTGGGACCGAATCATCCGTCTGTAGCTACGACATACAAGAATATTGGAGCGGTTTACAATGATGTGGGTGACTATTCAAAAGCTTTGACTCATTATGAAAAGGCACTGGAACTTGATTTGAAAGCACTGGGACCGACTCATCCATTTGTGGCTTTGACATACGCTGGGATTGGAGCGGTTTACAATGCCATGGGTGACTATTCAAAGGCTTTGACTCATTATGAAAAGAATCTAGAACTTCGATTGAAAATATTGGGACCGGATCATTCACTTGTGGCTGCGACATACAAATGTATTGGACTGGTTTACCATGACATGGGTGAATATTCAAAGGCTTTAACCTATTATGAAAAGTCACTGGAACTTGGGCTGAAAACACTGGGCCCGAATCATCCACTTGTGGCTACGACATACTATTGCATTGGACTGATTCACAACGACATGGGTGACTATTCAAAGGCTTTGACATATTATGAAAAGACACTGGAACTTGATTTGAAAACACTGGGACCACACCATCCATCTGTGGCTACGACGTACAGTGGTATTGGAGGGGTTTACTATGCCATGGGTGATCCTTCAAAGGCTTTGACTTTTTTCCAAAGGGCTTTTGAAGTTGCTGAGAAATGCCTGCCATCTTCTCATCCAGATATCGACAAGTATAGAAGAATTATATGTAAGATAAATGACAAACTTATTACACACTTTTAGGGATCATCCCAGATGATAATGTAGGTTTTCTGTTTGTTTCCTCGTCGTGATTTCTCGTGAGTATAAAAAGTACAAAAAAGGACTATACTTACGCAAAGTTTACTCGATAAAACAAGCGACGCCTGCTTTTATGCGCGAAAAGAGTTTTCCGTCATCGAAAATCATGCTAGACACTGTCTTTTCTTCAGAAAAATTGTTTCAGTTCAACAGAGCTATGTTTAATGAGAATAGTCGCTACTCATTTAGTACTAGCTGTAAAAATAGTTATCTTTGCAACCATTATATGTGTAGAGATGAAATGTCCAGAAAATGTGTAAGTAATTGCCAATATTCATTTCCCAAAATTTCAGCTGGATCCGTCATAAAAAGTTTTCAACCTTTCTCACAATAGTAAGCCCTAAACACTCATTGTCAGCTCAAAGCTACAGAAATAAGAAGAAAGTAGTTTAGGGCTTTTCTTGTGAATTCTTTAACCTTGCAAAGAAGGGATTTTAGAGCTTGGAGACATCTCAGTCTAATCCTTTACCCTCCCTTGGTCACGGGAGTGACCATTTGTAGATCGATGGCAAAAAATTAAGAAAGCATGGAATTTAAAAACGTTAGAGAGATATCTCGTAGCGAACTCCATAAGCTACCGATTGGTAAAAAAAGTATTTTGTTTCGTCGGATTGTGTCCGAAAAATATTAATTACAAAATCGATGACTTTTTAAAAAACACAAAAATTGGAGTTTTTTCTGAAAATATTTTTCTACCAACAGGCACGATACATCTTGATAACCTATTGTGTGGTGTATAACGACAATAATGTCTACTACCAATATCAAATGGCTTACGAAAGTTTCAGAAAAACCCGGTAGATAAGAAATGGTATGACACAGAGTGGTCACTGGAGTGTCCATTGGGGGGGAATGACTTGAAAAAGTCCTATTTTGGGCTTGTCGTAAATTTGATATAGTTCGACCAAAAAACGCTGAAGAGAGCTCGCGGGCATCTCATTTTGTAGAGAATTGTTTGCTCTATCATTCAACCTAGTTTGAAAAAAATTTTATTCGCAGGTTCTAGGTGATGGAAAACTAGGGTTTTGGTATTCTAGAAAACTCAGTTATTGGGAATCTAGTGATAATTTTTACTTTCTCAAATCCTTCTTGGAAACAATTTTCTCTACACTGTAGATAAAAAGAGTATTCTCGAAAACTAAAAAAGGTTTTCGAAAGAGTAGTCGAGCTCCCCCATACTCAAAAAGGTTTTACATTGTAACATTTTCGAAAACCCCTAAAAAAGGTTTTCGTGAGTTCTAAAACCCTTTCTTATTCTGTTTGTAAACTCTTTCTCGGAAACTTGTTCAAGGTCGGTTTACGAAAAGAAATTGTAGGTAACCTTGTTTTGCCGGCGACGCATCGATTACCTGAAACCGATACAACCGAAAAAGTACTTTTATTTGTACACATTCTTGAAGATAAGTTTGAAACGATCTGAAAGAAACATCTGTTCTACAAAAAAGATCAACCTTTATTAAAAAAGATTGCACCTTTATTGAAAAAAGATAAAAAGATTTTCAACCTTTATCAGTGATTATATCAGCGTAATTGTAACTCAAGCGATATTATAAAAAGCGAACAAGAAACAATTGCAGAGTCGTTTTATTGCAATTTTAGCCGTAGCTGTTAAGGAGTGGTGTTGCTGCTAGTATGTAATATGGATAAAAAAAGCACATGAGTTGCGGCGCAACTAGCCGTGGAACCAGGATTTCGTGTTAGACAGGGCTCAGCCCATCACTTTTCTGGAGTTCGATCTGGAGTAGTGCTAATAAATTTAAGCTGAATATCAGGAAAAATTTTAAAAAACTGTCTAGGCCTTTTTTGCCCGCGACGCATAATTACTTTTAGGCATGCACCGGATTTTTAATCGATTAACTGAAACTGATACAACCGAAAAAACTACTTTTTTTTGTACACATTCTTGAAGATAAGTTTGAAACGGTCTGAAAGAAACAGCTAAAATGTTCAGAATTGTGCGCTGCACATTCTCAGATTAGATGTTTCCTCCATAGCGCTTCAAAATTATTTTCAAGAATGTGAAAATAAAAGTAGTTTTTTCGATTGTATCTTAGTATCGCCTGTACTACTATAGTATAGTCATACATACTATAGCAGTCATACATACTACAAAAGACAAGCAACATTATTTTCCGAAACGGAATGGGGTACCCGAAATAAGTTTTGCACAATCGAACGATCTTTTCTAAAACCCTAGAGCATTTTCTACCTTTCGAAAACCGAAGGGTTTTATGGAGAATAATTCAAATATCCGAAAAGGTATTTTCTAAACCGACGAACGAATATCCTGATATGTTGTAGGTTATGGGAAAAATTTGAGAAAAAAAGAGTTTTAGATAATACCTTGTTCTGTATTCGAGGATACCGTTTTGAGTATGAGGAAGTTTTTGCTTTTTCCAAGGGTTTTTAAAGATTCAAGTACGCTATGTATATTCTCAAATACGGAAAAGAGTTTTCGAGATCATTCCGAATACTGAAAACAGTTTTCAAAAGGGTTTTCTAGTATACGCTTTTCATTTACAGTGTACTCAGGTCACTATTTGAATTCTTTTCAGCGTTTATGGCTGCAGAAAAAAATCGAGAATACACCCAGTTGATCAATTTTTGTAGTCACTGTAGTTTTTTAGCACCTTCATCAGTGGCTCGTGTGGAACCGCTGTGGGGGAGGGGGGAGGTGCAGGGTTAATCAGGAATGTGCGCGCTACAATTATGCATCATTATGAAAGGTTTTGGTTATTTTTTAGAATTTCTGAAAAACTGGTGTTCCAGAAAACTGATCTCTGAAGGCCTGTTAGCCACCTTATGTTGATATTCGGAATCAACATGGCCGACCACCTATAGTCCACTAGGTTTCGGCTGGAAAGCGATTGGACAGTTGGGAACTTTTCCTCGTCAGTATATACTTTGTGAGTGAAAAGTTTAGCGAACACTGTTTGTTAAGGAGACCGTAATCTGTTGTCCTGACCCTGCATGTTCTCTGATCCTAAATTATTTTTTCTACTAATCAGTGATAAAAGACGAACAAAAAAGACACGCAGTAAATGATACTCACCAGCATGTTATTACTGTCTCTCCCAGAAAACAAAACACTCGATGCTTTTTCGAATAACTTTTGACTGGAGATATATAGAGATCTGCGGTGTTCACCGTTGTGCAGTAAGTGCCTTATTGCATCTATCTACATATGAATTAGATTTTCAGGTAAGGTAAGCTTCAAAAAACTAGTGAAAATCTATACTAGGTGGAATAATCCATTTTCCAGTATTTGCAGGGAAAATTAAAAGCTTTATAACTCAGTTAAAATTGTTCCAACCTGCTTCAAAACATTAAAATATACTCGATTTAGTCACTTTCGATTGATAAAGCATTCCATAGGAGCTGTATGTAGTAGATTTCGCTCGCCTAACATGCAGTTCGTTGATAGTGACGTTTTGCAATATCTGTCCAACTTTTGTAAGCAAACGCTATCGGTACTCAGTCAGTTATAGTCATTCCAGAAAAGCGCAGAAAACTCTGTGTACGAAAAAATTTACGCGTTTAGCGAGTTTCGAATAATAACGCGCAAGAAGCTGCGAATGTGTAAAATTAAACCGCAGGAAACGCATGTTGTCGTGGAAAAAGAGGCTTTACACGCCTGTTCCTGCGGTTTATTTTTACACACTCGCAGCTTCTTGTGCGTTATTATTCGAAACTTACTAACTGCGTGAAGTTTTTCGAAAACAGAGTTTCCTGCGCTTTTCTGGAATGACTATGATTGACTGGGTAGAGTGACGCAAGGTCTTGAACGCCCATCTCATATCCGAATGCTGGAGAATAGGTCAGAATGGGCGTGGATATTATTTACTTAGGTGAATAAATTTCGTTAAATAACCTGAACTTGAAATCCGTAGGTCCCGCAGTATCCTTTGGGTTTTGGATACACAATCTCAAGCGAAAGGTTTCGTTCATCCACTGTGTGTACGATAAAAGAAGCTAAAAACAAAACAGGAGATTATTTTTTAAGTTTGTAAAGAAAAGAAAATATTTCCAAGTTTATACGAAATGAAAAGATGAGCATGAATATTTTACCTGCAAATGTGGAACTGATGAAAATGTGAATTGTTTTTGATTTGTGATCAGAACATCGTCAAATTGTCCGTGAAAAAGATCTATCTCGAACTTTTCTATTTAACCAAAACACGTTTTACACGTCTGAAATGTTCGAAAAACTTTTGTCCGAGACAGTGTGCTTTGCTGAAGTTAAGTTGATTAATACATAGCACTTATTGACAATGCACTTTGCATTTCCAACGTAACACAAACTGCAAACTATAGACTTCTTTTGTGTTTAAGGAAAATAGTAACTGCTTTTACTGAAAGAAAAGACAGACACCATCAATCAGACTAGAAAAAAATTAGTAGAAAAACCGGCTTCGTTTTTTTTCTTTCAAGAGTTTTATGTAAATGTAGATTGATCTATTTATGGAGAACACGTGTTTTTTATCGCTTCTATAACAGATTACTACTAGTGAGTAGCCCACAGTGTGCATTCAGGCCGGCTTTTGGTGAAAAAGTGAAAGTTGATTTTTCAGTTATTTTAAGATTGATTAATATACTTCGAAACACGCTCTATTTAATGGCAAAAATATTTTTGCCCTGAAACTTACTTAAGCTGGGAAAATCCTATACAAAAAAATACGCTAAAAAAACGTGTCCATCGGAAAATCGGATAATACGCAAAAATCAAACATAGCTATTGCACAAACAACCATATATTCAGAATTGGCATGAAGTGCGCTATCGATTGGTTTTCCTTATTTATTTTCGCTCCAAAACATGTTGAGACAAAACCAACTGGATATTTGGGATAATCGTAAAAAGCTGCATCGAATGATGTATAGTTTCTTAATTTTTCTGCAGAAAGTCTATAAACACTTTTTCTATAGACTTTCCAATATGCTCTTTCCAATGGCGATGTTTTCAAAATGGAAAAATATTTTTTGTGGGTTTTACCGAGATCCGATCTCTAGAAAACCCATAAGAAATTATTTTTGGGTTCTGAAAATTTCACCATTGGAAAGAACGTATTCGAAAACCTATAGACAATCGTGCTTATAGACTTTCGTACCACTTCAACAGCATATGAACGTCTGCTCTACAGAAAAATGCACAGTGAGTAGCCATTGGCTGTTTTTTTGATTTTGTCAAAGAACGAGTATAAATAGCTGCTACGCTTATTATAAGTGTTCGATAGAGTTCAAGAAACATTGTTTTATCGGAATGCAAGTTATTTTGCATGAAATACTTTATTTCATAACCGTAGAAATGTCCATAGATAATTTTATATAAGTAAAAAAAGAGACTTCATTTTTTATTCATCGCTACGATGATGTAACAAGTACTCCAACGTCCTATCTTATATGAAACCATGCAAAAATGCTTCTCGTACTTTGATGTGGAAAAATAAAATTCTCATTGGAATATTTTATTAATAAAAATCTCAGCTCATTGAGAGACACATTTGAACTTGTACAGAATAATCACACCCTGTATACAGGGTGTGATTATATGTATACACCTACAGTATACTGTAGGTGTGTGCGCGAGTGAAAAAGAGAGTCCATGTGGGTAAAAACGTCGATCCGAAGCTATTGCCTTTGCATTATAACGTAGAATCAAAGTGGAAGTCGGACATATAGAAGACACCTATTATTTTGAAGACGCAATCTAGTCACATACAAGACACTTTTTCTCGGCAGATACATCGCTAAAGTCACATTTCTATTTAGAGCGAACATTCAAACGTTTTTATACCTATCTTTGATGCCTAGCTCCATCATTCTAGATATTCTAACGAGCTCAGTTTGTAGGGAATTTCAATGGCTATTGAATTATGTATTTACTTATTCATTTAAGTGAGAGAACGTTGAGAAAAACAGTTTTTACTTAAGCTCTAGGCGATCTTGTAGAAGTGCCGATTGGGACGCCATTGTCGAAGACTTACTGTGGTTTTAGTAAACGAAAGTGTTCAAAATTACTTAAAATTGAATAAAAATACTTTTCTACTATATACGGAACCGTTTTTAGTCGAAAAAGGGAATGGGTTGATTATTAACCATATGTGGTCCCTCCTTTACCTCGTTTGAAAAAAACTTTTACTTAAGAGGTTTACTGACATCTTAAAATTCAACCTTTTTTAGGTAACTGGATGAGCTCTATCGATTAATAACGGGCGGGACGTAGTACTTTATCCAGTTTCACTTTAATCAAACCACTAAAAACAAAGGTATCGATCCACGGTGTTTGTGTTTTAATTAAAGCTTTTTAGAGTTGTCGTGTGTGATCATGAAACACAGTTGAAAGATACGTACTGCTAGTTGAAGATAATATTACATTTCTTATTAAGTTTACACCTTTTTATTCGTCACTAAGCCCAATTTGGGAAATTGCTTACGTCTATGATGTATGTTTCACATTCAAGCACTAAATAGGGAATTTTATAGCTAATAAGCCTTTTTATCACTTTCTCTGTCCAGATCAGGATTCTTCATCATGTTCCGCATATGATTAGGTGTGTTTAATGGACATCGACTTGCTCTAGACTCCGTACTAAGTCGATTACTATTCGGGCACACAAACTTACGAATAGAAAAAAAAAGATTTTTGTACTAAACAACTAGTTTGTTCAAACTTCACGAATGCAATCATATTCAACATGCCGAATGCATATTCTGAGCAACTTTCAACATGGACTCAGAAAAAAGTTGAGATCGATTTTCTTGGGGATCACAAAAAATACGGAAACTAAAATCAGGGAAAGCTCAGCGACCACCAGTATTTCGAATGATGTTTTAGTAAAGTTTGCTCTAAAAAAACTGAAAACTAGTTGGCGTTTGAAAGCTGACCTTAACGCCATTACTCCTTTGTATACTGTTGGTGTTTACAGGGTATCTATCATTGTTTATTATTTATATATAAAAGTAATAAAAAGAAAACATTCTAATCTATTAGTTTATCATCTCATAATAATAGTTTGAAGCATTTCGACTGAATCCTTGGTTATTGTTCCATTCGTTGAGTAAATTTTCTTTATTAAATTTCTATCTATTGCATCATTGCATATTTTGTTCCAACAATCATATTGACTGAGATGTATTAAATGTCAAAATATCAAAATATATATCAAACAAAAGGATATTGATTGGATAATCGAATTAAATATGTGTCGATTCTATACCGCACGTGTGCCAGTAAATACAGTTAGTAAAAGCTAGTCTTGATGCATTATTAGTTGACGTTACATGGTTTTCTAATTATAATTGTATACTTCCAAGCAATTTAGGAGAACATAATCAATATTATCCTGTAGAAACATGATTGAATATGTTATCAATGTGAAAGCATGTTTCTTGTAGAATAAATCACATATAAATCCACAACATTGATGAATGCCAATGTGCCAGAAGAAATGAAATTGAAAAATTCTTTAAAGTGTCCGAAAGCTCAGTCGCCGAATAGACAATTTTTTGAGTATTTAAATGAAGACGAAAGAGCCGAAACAGCACTACGCATTTAGACTAAACGTACATAACAAAAAGCCACACTTTAGTGGAGCAGCATTAATTCTGATTCGTCGACTATGTTATTTGGATATAGGAATTTTTTCTCTCAAAAGTATCTAAACTCGTTGGATGTTATCAGAGCATCGACATTCACTCATTGTCCACTTGCACAAAGTAGCAGCGAGATAAGGAAGAGTATATATGCTAACTTATTCATAAAAAAATATAAAAAAAATATCAGATTATGCGACTTGACAGAATATTAAAAAGGTGTAGAATATACATGAAGAATGGCCCGACGTATTCGTCGAAAGTGCAACGTGTTTCTTTTCTTGTTGGAAATTATGAAGGTCATTCAATCGTTATGCGCCACTCTCTCTATCTTTGCATAAGAAATGTCTCGTACAGCACAGAAGTGTCGCATATCCTTCTTGCTTCTCATTGTATGGTTATTGTCACTCTTCATGTCACTGAAAAATTTACTAGAAATAACGAACAAATTATCTTTTCGATTCATGACGCTAGATCTTGGCCGATATTCTAGGGATATTTTTACTGCATTTTAGATTATTTCAACTATTCAGTATTAGTCGATTGACTGCAACGTGGTCATCTACTCTCACAGTGCGAGGTTTCTCGTATAGTCTGTCGATTTCACTAATATATTAGTGAGAATGGCTAGCGCTACTTCGATCTCGCTAGATTTTATTTGTCCCATAACGCAAGATATAATGGTTGAGCCTGTTTTGTTAGTTGAAGATGTAAGTCGAAGTTTGTCCAGTCTCACTTAGCTACGCGATGGCAAACCAAAGTGATATATTTTCCGTTTCAAAGACGAATTTGAATCTCTTGTTGCGTTTATTATAAGAACATTGAGCGTCTTCGGATTTTTAGGGACACTCTTACGAACAATCCGCGCTTGAACAATGGCTCGAGTATCATAACACATCCCCATTGACTAATAAACAGCTAAACAATCGTCAATTCGTACCAAATAGAAATCTTAAGTCAACCATTGAAGACTTTCGTCGTCAACAAACCCAATCCACATCAGCTGTTGACTTTCGTTCTTTCACTCTACGCTCTGGGCGTCCACACAACGCCAAATGGGAGCATTGTCCTCAACTTCAAATTATTATTTCCCTTCTTGGTCCATCGAATGTGGGCAAATCGGTTCTTGCTCGAAATGCAGGGTATGGTCGGCCTATGTCTAAAAATCCTGTTTATATAGTCACCATACAAACAGATGTACTGTTTTTCTACTTGGATCGATTGTTCGAGGATCAATATGTCGTTATCGTTCAACTGCACGATTGTCCAGGCAACGATAGGTTTGAGGCTGTTTCTGATCGTCACTTTCGAAATTGTCACGGGGCAGTCCTAATGGCTGATGTGACCGACTTTCAATCATTTGAACGCCTCGAAAAATATTGGTATAAGAGACTTCGTGAAAAATCATCATTTGACAATGTCGAAGCGGTGCTTGCATGCAATAAGGTTGATTTATTGGAAGCGGAATGTGATCCATCGCATCGTGAGAGATTCTTTCAACGAGCTGATACGTTCGTCTCGTCTTTGCAGATGCCCATCATCAATATATCAGCTTTACGTGGTGACAATGTACAGATATTGTTTCAGCAGCTAATCTTGAACATTTTACAGAATGAATCCTTGGTGAAACATTTAAAACAATATGCAAGACAGGTTCATAAACCAGCGTCCAATCCAACTAAATCTTGTTGTTAGCGTCAAGCTTGTGAAATACTGTTTGTGTATCATATTTTAATCAAGTATTTAATTCTTCTTCTTTGTGAACTCTACTTTATTAGATATTCAATATAAATCAGCTCATGCGATTACCGTTGCTTCGCTTGTGCAAATCCAGTTTTTGCAATATCAAACTTTTAACTGCGTTCCATAGAAAAGTTAGAGTATAGGCACTAAATATAACATGAAACAACTTTCATATAGACAAGGAGGAGAATGAACGGGAAGAGATATATTTAAAAATAGGTTGTACGTTTTGAGCCATAACTGTAATTCAAGATCTAACTACGGATGCATTTACATTACTCCAGTCACACAATATTTTTTTAATTCATTTTTTATTTATTTATTATTTAATTCATTGCCAAGTTTTAAAATTTTTTATGCTGTAAATGAAGACATTAGTAAACGCTGAAACGTTTAACTATTCAAATTGTAAATAAAAATTGTACGAAATACAAAGTATAATAAAACATTAACTATTCATTCATTTATTTTTATCTGCCTTCTTTTTAGCTAATGTTGGTGAAGATCATCCTGGATTTGATGGTTTCTTCGAATTTTGTTGGATTCCGACGTTCAAACGTTATTTATACCATTATTTAGCGCTAGAAATGGTATAGGCAAGTTTCTCCTTCAGACTTCACCCGATAACGACGAAAATTGTTTTCTATTTAGAGCTCAATATGCTCTCTCCAATAACGAAAAATTCAAAGTTCCATCACGAAAAATAAAGCGTGATAATTTTATTGATTTATATAAAAATAAAATAATTATTTTTTCGTCTGACAGTGTTGTATTCTAAGCACTGACACAAGACAGGCTTCATGACTACAACCATAAAAAAGAAAACAAATATAAACGTCCAGAGAACAAAGTAAAATCAGTTTGTTCTTGTTATGTCTAGCAGTCGTACCACGTTCATTTCTGTTCGCGAGAAAAAAAAGAGTTATTATTTGCTGACAACAGAGAAGTTTCTCACTCCATACACGTTAACCTAGGTTCACTGAACGTCTTCCTCATTTCTGTATCTCGTGCTCGACACTTCCCCCTTTCTAACAGTTCTCTAATATAATTCTATCGAAAGAAATCTAGGTTACTTCATTTAAGTTACCACACAAACAAATCTAGCTATCATTCGTCTACACTCACTTGACGAAATCTTTCCTTTGATCTGCAAACCGTTTAGGTAATAATCAAGACTTGTATAATAATCTTTCTTCTGAAAGAAAACAGTCCCCACGTTAATCAATGTCTTGGCTCTGTTGAGATGGTCTGCCGACGGTCGGTAATTCGATTCCCTTTTTCGAGATATCTTAGTGCAGTGTCAAGTTGATGAGGAGGGCAGTGTACGCTGGCAACGTTCAATATTCCCAGCAGTGTACGAGTTCCATCAATTCCGGAATTTTACACTTACCACGAGAATATTGCTGTTATCGTAAGAATTTTCCCCTTGACTAAAACCCAAATATAGTACACAAATCACAAGCAGAAAGAATTCTTGAAATTCCGGAATTTTCCCTCCCTCCACAAGAATTTCACTTCCTTTCACGAGAATTTCAGTCTACCGCACGAGAAGTTTAGTTATGTAAGAAGCAAGAGCAGCAAACTCAAAGCGAATTTTAGTCTTCTACACGAGAATTACAGTCACTTACACGAGAATTCTACTTGTGTAAGGGGAACTGGGAACATCCCTAATACATTCTTCACGAGAATTTTACTTTTCCACAGGAATTTCGAGAATTTCCACGAGAATTTTAGTTTCTTAGACGAAAATTCTACTTGTGTAGTACACAATGTTTCATAGAAAAGGCAGAGGTTGAAGTGGGCGGGGAGGGGGAGGTGAGGCTGTGATAGTGAGTCACTACTCGAAGAGCCACAAACGACATATTATCGAATCCTGCTTTTTAACACGAATCCTCAGTGGAAGCTTTTGTGTATTTTACCTGCACGAAATACTTACAATTAATCCCCAATCTTACATTGTTGTAAATTCCTTTAGGTACAATATGAACTTTATCGCCCGTGCGTGTTGCCGCATTTCACAACCATTCTGGATTTCTGAACATAGAACTCGTATTTCAACGCAGCTTCAATTCGAGTTCACTCCACAAATCAAGTTCAGAACCTAACCCACGGAAAATTCTCGTGCTAGAGCCTAAATTTCTCGTGGTAATTCTCAAAATTCCCGTGTGAAAGTAAATTCTCATGGAGAATGTCTCCGGGATATTCTCAATTCCTGTGATAGAAGTAAAATTCTCGTGCAAGAGACTAAAATTCTCGTGGTAATTCTCAAAATTCCCGTGTGAAAGTAAATTCTCATGGAGAATGTCTCCGGGATATTCTCAATTTCCTGTGCACAGTGGGCAACTAAGCGGACATTAGGCCAAAAAGTCGATTTTATCTATCTTGAAATACAAATAGTGCAAAATGTAGCTCTTGAAATTCTCTATCGAATGGTGTATAAACGTCTATTGTGAAA